ACAGGAGAGAAGCCACCAAGTCACACATCTTGATGCTGATGTCGTACGAGATTCTTTTCAAATATAAATGGTTTAATGAGATTCTCTCAGGAAAGATAAAAGGTCCGATTCCTTCTCTTGTTCAAATGTCCTATTTGATGACCACGAAGATGTAAATGAGTCCCAATCACATCCACATTCTGTTCTCTTTTGGGCCCTGACAAAATGAACCTCCCACAGGTAGAAGAAATGGATTCATCAATCCCAGCACAGCAGGAGGCGTGAGACAGCAAAGCCGGAGTCTCAGACACTGACAAAACCTAGTGCAGACATTCAGCAGAGTGTTAATCTTTTATTTGTGGAGCCTGGGGCCTAGGACAAGGAGAGAGTCAGGCAATCTGTCATTGCACAACAAAAATGGAAAACGAAAATGTAATTTTTTTGGTATTTAAGGAAAGACCAAGATATTCTGCTTCCCACAGCTGCCCTAATCACAAATGAAAGATGATTATTTTTTCCTTTTAAATCCTAAAGCATTCCCACGATGCCTGACAAAGACCCAAGGACTGCGTGCGCGCACCCAGACGCCCTCGGGCCCCCGCCCCTCCGCCTGGGGAGATGCGCTGCGTGGCGTCCTCTGCCCATGCCCACACCTCTCACCGCCAACTGCAATGCGGTACAAGAGACGACTTTCAGAAAAGAACAACTCTGCTTTCTTAACAAGGACGTCCAGCCCCGTCAGAGTCCTCGATGAGTACACAGCATTAGAGTACAGATCTAATGTTTCTAAAAAAACAAAAACCTCAAGGTCACAGCTACCCCTCCCTTTTAAACCCTGATGATCTCCAAGGTATGCCTGGCATGGCTCCCCCTGCTGGGCAGTGAGACAAGAGACAGTGGTGCGCTTTCCAGATACCACTTACAAAATCGTGTCCCACTATTCCATTCTCACTCTTCTGTTACAAACTTATAATCGAATGATCACAATGATTTTTTTATATTGAAATAATTCCCATCCTTTTAAGAGACTTTAGGATGGGATGGATTTTCTGAGACAACGTGGCGGGCAAGTTATGGCAATAAGCCGAAGTGTAAGTGTCTGGATCAGCTCCTGGGCAGCACAGGGAACAGCATCCCGAAAGACGGTGCAGTCCAGCCCTTCGTCCTGAAGGAGGGATCAATATCTGGGTAGATGAATGTCCGCACAAACAGCCAAGACACAAACTCCTGACCAAGTGCTCCTGTACCCACCCTGCGGACCTACACTCACTGGGTGGCCGTGCAGAGCAATGTTCTGTCACACGAGCCGGGGCTGGGGGCTGCGGCTACGACTCTGGGAGCCTCGGGCTGACCACAGCACAGCCCCCAGCTTGTAATTTCCACCTGGTGACAGCACTAACGAAGTGAGGGACCAGGTACCCAACTCAACACGAACACACTCAACCGGGGCACTACCACTTAGAAGATGCCAGCCAGCAGCAGTAATATGTGAACCAAATATTGTGGAATTTCTATTGGCCACATTAAAAAGTAAAAGATAAACAGGTAAAATTAGCTTTAAAGTCTTAGCTAACCTAATGTATCCAGACTTTTAACATACACTGTATATTAAAAATCAACCAATCACTGTAATATACAATCAATATAAAACCTGAGATTCCATGGTAAATTACATTCCCTGGTATCAACTACACCCCTCCAGCCATCCTGCCCACTCTCAAAAGCACCCAGTTACTTGGCTGCTAATGCGCTACAGTCCATCAAAGGCTCTTGTTAAAGACTTTGAACTTCCAAGGAAGCATTAATAAGGCAGGTTATCCACAGGGCGCATAAAACAAAAATATACACCAGAGGCAGGTGTGGTGGTGCATATCTGTAATTCTAGCAATTGGGAGGCTGAGGCAGGAGGATTCCTAGTTGAGGCCAACCTGAGTTACACAGTGAGTTTCACATTAGCCTGGGCAACATAGTGAGACACTGTCTCAAAACAACAGCAGCAACAAAAACAAAACAAACACACAAACAAAAAAATCCTCCACCTCCTCCCAAAAAACTTCAAACCAAAAGACCAACAACAAAGACACACACACACACACACACACACACACACACACATCTTAGGAGAGCTTACGGTTACAGGACTGAGTGCCAAGGCAGAATGAAACTGATCCGAAACAAGAGGTAACCTTGTTTTTTCTAGTTTCTACTTCTGACCCAATGGCTTTCTTAAAAGCATCACTCTCTGAAATACCTACATTTATTGTATGTGACAAAGATCTAGGAAATCGAACAGTGTACGGTCACATCACCTCAGAAACCGTTTATCCCCGGCTCAGGGCCAAACTCAGCCTTTTCTGTTCAGCGCCCCTAAGACACAATGTATCTGTAGCTTCCTGAGTACAGAGTTTCGTATTCTGCTTTTGAAACAATCATATCACACATCTTCTCTTGAGTCATTATTGCCAAGCACCTACACTTTGGTGGGCTTAGAGAGTTTAAGATCTTGCCTAAACCAATTCTGGCCCAGCCTCTGTGACCCTTAATTGTGACTGGCAGCTTGACCACTCTTAGCAGACTAGCAGGACACAGCTCTGGGTGTGTCTGCAGGTGTCTCCAGAATGACTGGCACGCCGGCCTGCAAACTGAAGGGCGAAGACCCATCCGACTGTGAGCAGCACCATCCAACAGGCTGACCGCCTGCAGAGAATGAAGGGGAAGAGGGGCAGCTGCCCTGCCTCTGGAAAGCTCCCCTCTTCTGCAGCAGGTATACGTCCTTTGCTACCGTCATGGACTGCGGACACTGGCCCCCAGTTTCTTTCAACCTTTCAATGTGGACTCACATTGGTGACTCTCTAGGGAGCTTCGAGGCCTCAGTCTCAGGTTGACGCTGCATCCTTGGTCATTCTTCCAGACTCTTGGACTGAGCAGCTAGTGGATCCCATGGCTGTCCAGCACGAGGCACTGCGGACTTTCCTACCTCAGAGCCTGTAAGCCTATCTAAGAATTCCTTCTTCTTTTTCTTGTTAACTGTTCCTCTAGAGAACTCTAACCAATACCCTTCCCTTCAAACACTCTAAAACGTCTGATCAGCTATGAATTTGCACTCTTATGGGTGCTTAAGAGAAACTGTAAATATAACAGATAGGGGTCTCCGCCCTCATACGGCATATCCCAGAAGGAAAGACAGATAATAAAGGTACAGTGTCAGCAACAAATAAACGGTAAGGAAAAAAGGCAGAGTGAGCAGCATATACTAATTTTCGACTACCTCCATTATTTATTAGGTTGAACCACTTGAAACTGCTGATATTCAACCGTGTCTGACGCACACAACGGGCCTTTCTGTAACTCAACTTAGTGGTTTCAGTCCCTCAGGAAGAGTCAAGAATGCTTCCAGTTTACAGCAAGCACGAAGGACAGGGAAAGGCGGTAAGTAACACTTCACGGTGCAACCAGCACAATCCAGAATGTGGGAAAATGCTACGGGACAAAAAGGATACACGAAGTCAGAGACCACCAAGTACAAGGCTTAGTAAATGCCCCTGTAGACCTTCCTTGTGTCCTTGAAAAACAAGTATTTGTGAGACAAAAGGGAAAAGGAAATCAGTGCAGAGATATCTAACACAGTACTAAAGAAACATTAATTTATGCTTTTAAAAAAATTACGTATATGTTTAAAAATCCCACACTATGAAAAGACAACATACAGACTGGAAGACAAGTATCTGCAAGCCATACACCTCGTAACGGGCTAGCACCCAAAATATATAAGGGTACTGTAACACGTAATACCCAACTCAAGAGCAAAAAACAACTTGATTAAAAAATAGGCAAAGGCTCTGAACAGATAGATATTCCTCAAAAGAAGACACAGGTCAACAGGCACATGAGAAAGTGGTCAACATGACTAAACATCAAGGAAATGCAAATTAAAATTGAGATATCTCACATCTTTCAGGATGGCAATTATCAAAAAGAAAAAACACACATATAGGCAAGGATACGGAGAAACGGCTACCTTAGCACATTGCTGGTGGGAATGGAAATCAGTACAGTACGGTAATTATGAAAAACTGTACAGATGTTTCTCAAAAAACTAAAAGTATAAACTACCATATGATCCAGGAACCTGCCTTTGGGTGTACATCCAAAGGACAGGAAATCAGTGTGCTGAAGACACTTAACATACCGATGTTCACAGTAGCTTTGCACACAATAGCCAAGACATGCAATAAACTAGGTGTCCCTCAACAGATGACTAGATCAAGACGATAGGCACACATATACAGAGGGTCACTATTAACGCGTACCCACCGGCCTGAACCACGGGTGGTCCACGTATGACTGCCCAGCAGATGGCTCATACCTCTGGTGGTACAGGTGGCACGGTCATGCACTGGGCAGCCATGCATGCAGCACTGGTGACGCAAGCTGCCTGGAAGTGAGGCAGACGAACTGCAGCCCGTCGTGAACGTGTCAGACACGAGAAACTGTAAGTGGCGAAACAAATGACCTTGGAGGGTATAAGGTTAGTGTAATAAGCTAGAGGGGGAAGACAAATGTGCAAGATCTCGCATCTGCTTGGACAAAAACGTCAATTACAGGAGTGGAGAATAACGTGGTGTTTATCAGAGGCTGGGGAGATGTTGGATAAAGGATATTAAATTTAAGTTAAGCAGGAGAAATAAGTTTGTGAGACTTATTGTACAGCACAGTGATTATAATTAATAACAATGTTTCAAAATTTTAAGAAAATAAAAATAAATGTTCTCACCCCAAAACTGTTAAGTACGTGAATGACGTTAGTTAATTCATCACCTTAATCACTGTACAGTGTATACATATAACACCAAGTTGCACCCCATCAACACATACAATTATTACTAATCAAATGAGAAAAAATAAAAACTTAAAGCATGTCTGCGCCCCTCCTGCCCCCTTTCCCTCAGTTTGCACACATCACCCCTCTGTGCTCAGATCATCAGCTGTAAAAGCCCGCGGCATGTAAGACGACTGCTCACCTGTCAATGAACTGATCGATAATGACGATATCGCCGGGCTGAATCTCCTCCCTCAAGGAGCCGCAGGCTGTGGTCACTATAATGTGTGTGCAGCCCTCTTCCTTCAAAGCCCAGACGTTTGCCTGGTAGTTGACTTTTGAAGGCATGATGGTGTGCTGCCTCCCATGTCTAAGGGAAGGAGAATTAAATGGTAGATGAGTGATCAGGGCATGTTAACACTGCTAGAAAGCTAATGTACAGTGGTGTTTTCCAGATTTTTCCACCAAGGCACCTCTACGGGCATGGGAAGAATGAGAAATCGGGCAATAACCAGTCTACAATGAGCACAAACCACTGCATCTTAAAAGCAGGTCACCTTTACACTGCATATACTTATTTTCCCGCCAAGGCTGCATCAACTTGCGTAGAATTCACACTCCGAGAGGAGGCACTGTGTCTATCTTGCAGGGCATAAGCAGCCCCTGATGGGGCATCTGGCGTGACACGTGCTAACAGAGAAAGCAAGAGGTGCCATGAAATAAAACAGAAACGGAGCCCTGAGCTCCCACCGAATCTCTCTATCCCTTTCTGCCCAGTCATTTAGGGATGACACTAACAGCTTTTGTCCACAAACTGACCGCTTCACGTGTGGCCACGGCTGAGGTCTAACTGTGCAGTCCAAAATTCCTGTGATGAAGACCTAACCAACACCCGTACGTCCAAACGCAACTACACTTGCAGAGGACCCTTGCAGAGGCAATTAAGTTCAAATGAGGTCAACGGCGTGGGGGCCCTATTCCCATACGACTCATGTCTTCGTAAGAAAGGGAAATTTAGCCACTATAGAGGTTAGGGAGGTGTGGAGACACAGAAATGAAAGCCATCTCTATGCCAAGGAGCGGGGCCTGGAACAGATCCCCCCTGCCCCCGATCCTCAGAAGGAATCAACTCTGCCAACACCTTGGTTACAGAGTTCTAGCCTCCTTGGGGCTGGGGATTTAGCTCAGTGGCACAGCGCCTGCCTAGCAAGCGCAAGGTTGTGAGTTTGATTCCTGGTACCGAAAGAAAAACAAAAACACAAAAACAAACAAAAAAATAAAACAGAGTTCTAGCCTCCAGAACTGTGAGAAAATAAATTTCTGTTCTGAAAGCCAGCCAGTCCTGATACTGTTACAGCAGCCCCAGCAAACCACTGTAACCACCAGTGATTTCCTACCAGCTTAAAGCCAACACCTCACCCGAGACCCAACCTCATCTGGGCCTTGGCCCGCCAGTGCAACCTCAGCTCTCCGCTGCGCCTTTAACGCAGGCCTCGCAGGCCTCGCTGTCACTCATCCTCGCTCACTCCTGCTCAGCCCTCCGATCGCCAGTTTTGCGCTCCAGGAGGTGCCGCCCATGACCACTTCTGCTGTATCTCATCACTACCCCTGAGCTTATTTCTTCCTGTACAGCCTCTCAGGATCTCAAACTATGGGTTTTCTTTTAGCGTCCACCCTTCCAGCCAGAATCAGCTCTGAGGACAACGTCCTTGCCTGTCCTCCTTGTTGGTACCTAGAAGGGGACACCTGCCGTGTAAGCAGTCAATGTGTTGAACACAAACGTGTGTGGCTAAAATTCTTGGAGCACTTGAAATACACAAATGAACACATACGCACCTGCAAAAACCACCAAAGAAGCTCCAGGAAATAGCTAATTAAGAGAAGTCAATTTCTAAAATTATTTTTAAAAACTCACATGTGTTACATGACATACTTATAAGCAGTACCTTAGAGATGCCCACAATATTCTAGGCTGCTTAAAGACTAATAAACTCACGTAATGTTTTGCCACACAAAGGCAGTCCAAGAGCCAAGTTTAGTTCTTGCAGTGATAATTTAGAAGTACACTCTTAAGCAAGGAACAACACACAAAACCTTGCTTTGCTCAAAGATGATTAAAAGTTTGGGCTTTGTTTCTGTGTTGCCTTACATACTTTATTTTTGGTGGTAATTTGAATATCCATACACACGGTTCATATTCTCACTTGTACAGACGTATTTAGGAACCTAGAAATACATCCAAATATTAAAAAATAAAGAATAGCCTGAGTTTTTGAGAGAAACTTGGAGTCAAATTTCTACCACTTACTAGTCCTGTACCTACCAAAGTCACTCAGCTGTCTTGGCCCCATTTTTTAAATCTATAAAGCGGAAAATGAAATACCTGTGGTAGACAGTGTTACAAAGTCATCTCTGTTCTAACCCCCAGCCACAGGAGTCTTCAGAGCATCAGGGTCACTGCAGACATGCACAGCATGCTGCGCTTTCTCTCCCGAGTTCGGGGGTGACCTCCCGGAAGGTGGGGGGCCATCAGTAATCAGAAAGTACACAGGCATTTTTCTGAGGTTAGACTCCAAAACTCTGATCAGACTTTTCAAAATAAAAAAAAAATCAAAAGCAGTTCAGAATCCAGTGCATAGGAGGGTCAAACATTTCACAGGAGTACTACACTGTCCAGTTCAGAAATATGAAACCCTCAGCATCCAACTGCATGCATTGCCATTTCCTCCTACAGCTTAGAAAAATTAAGTTCTTTAGCAGTGACCATGGACCAATGAAAGGTTACCCGGAGTCTACCCCGGGTGATCACCTAAAACTAAAATTTAGTTTTGTTGAATTCCAAAAACGTACCTCCATTTCAAAAATGTCAGACACACCTTTGTGTGGCCATGACTCACTTCCACCCATTAGAATGCAGCAAAGCCGCCGGAAGTCACCGCAGTGACCAGGCCCACCTCAGTGGCATGCCCCACAGGCCCTCCTGGCTCTGCAGCAGCTGTGATGGAACGAGGTACTGCAGCCCGCCACATGGCAAGGACTGTGAGCCACCGCTCAGGACGGAGGCCGCAGCCCTACAACCTCGTCCTACAATTCTGCAAACAAGCCAGGAGTCTGAACAAACACTTGGAGCTCCACATGAGAATAGAGCTCTGAATATACTTTGTGTGATCTATGAGACCCAAGCGGGCAGCCTGGCAAACTGCACGAGACTCCTAACCCAGGAGACAATGTCTGCTATTTTAAGCAGCTAAACTTGTGGTGATCTGCAATAAAGCAGTAGAAAATGAACACGTGGTTTGACTAATTTCTAGCTATATGATAAAAATGATGTTACTTCCTCTACAATAGGGGCTAGCACTAGTCTCACAGAGAGACAAGGGAATAAAAACTGTAAGTAACCTGGTTCGGGGTCCCTAAGCCTGCTCCCCACAAACATACAACTATTACTACAAAAGGGATCAGGAGTGAAGTACTGTTTTCCTTTATCTTAATAATTATAAAAAGAATGAGCAAAGGAAACTGTTTCTTCTTTCAGAGCTTAAACTGTAGCTAACTGTGCTGCCTTTGCACTCTAAGAGAGTGCTGGGAAGTGCAGAGGTCACAGATCTCCCAAGTATACCTTCTCCCAAAGCCACACACAGCAAGTAAAGGCCACTAAGATGTTGAGTCCACGCACAGACTCTTACACCTGCATTATTTCTCTTGCTGGAACTTAAGTTAAATTGAAATTCTCCTTCAGCAGGCATCTTCAAAAAGTTTAAAATACCTTACCTTGCAAGGAGGACGCAGTCAACATTTTTTATCTTCCCCAAAATTAAGGCATCAGAGGGCTGCAGGCAATGAAAACTGGTTACAACTCAGTGGTTTTAAAAACACGTCCATGAACAATTACAAAGGTGCCACCTGAACTGCTAGCCCACAACAGACTCATGGAAACTGGCAATCTGAAGATACCCTGAGAAAAGAGTCTGTATTGATCAGTCAGTACAACCATCAATATTCACCGAACTTCCTGCTGGCCCACTTACCAACTCCGAGGTTTGCCGGCCGCGGGGGTGGGCGCTGTGTGGGCACCATCACCTGAGGTCTGCCTGCACCCAGGGGACTCTGACGCCACTAATCACGTTACACACAGCGGGAGTACTTGGCAGGTCCACGAACAGGTGCGAAAGTGAAAGGCAGACAGTTAGGAGACCACTGTCCTGCCACGAGGGACCGTGCAGTGCCACTCGCCGCCTGTCTGACCAGACCCAGGACGGCCAAGGGCCGGTTTGAGGTAACGCAGGGAGACCCTGAGAACCTGAGGCTACGAAGTGGGCAAGACAGATCTGGAAGGCAGGATGTTAATCCAAGAACTGAGCTGGAAAGGGGGGTTTGGCTGGCATGGTTAGACAGGGAAGCCTTCACAGGCAGACCAGAGGAAATACAACCTGGGAAGTGGCCGGACGGGGCTGGGCTCGGCCAGTGACACCTAGGCTTGGAGGACAGGCAAGGGAAAGGTTTTACTTCCAGTTGTATTAACATCGATTGTGTTCTGGCTCCTCCACACAAGCCTCCTTTGGACCAGGTTCACTCAGAAGATGTCACTTGGCAATGTTTCATCCTATTAGTCATCAGCCTGCCCCCTCAGGTCACAGTGGCGTGACCCACAGGCCCCAAAGTAGAAGCTGATTTGAATGCAAATTTGAACAGTACAGTTGCTAGGTTGGAAATGAGTGATTTCTAGCAACATGATTTGAGAAGTTACTTGGACACATTCAGAAGCCATGCTGACAGCGAGGCCCAAGGCCATCCCTACGGACACCTCCTCAGCTGAGGTGCCCAACGGCAGCCCCGGCCCCCTCAGCCCGGAGCAAACGGCCCAGGGCTTCCAACACAAAAGCACCTTCTCCTCTTAACCTGAAAATTAAGCCAGTAAAAAAGATGGACGAACTAACATGCTTCCACTAATTGGGTACTGACCTTGCCAAATGGAGTGTCCACATATTTTTCAGTTCTTCCTTCTAGAATCTCTGGATCATCCAGGCCTGTTCCACCAATTATTCCAATCTAAGAGAGAAAAAATATCACATTGGGTCACTTTTCATTAGAAACAAAATAATGTAATTATTTCAAACAAATTCACTTATATTTATACACTTACCTCCACTCTTGCTAAGCCCTAATTTTAAAAAAATCTAAAACTTACTAAAACAAACAAACAAAAAGGCAAATGAAGGCTTTCTGTTTTAAAAAAAAAAATCAAAAAAAAATTTGAGATAACCAAACTGTAGATCACTTTTTGGACATTTACTTCTGACTGAATTACAAATAAGCACAAAATGATACTTTTAGGTTAGAAAATCAAACCTAAAAGGAGGCAAGTGCAGTTACTGAAAGTTCTTTATGACCAATTTCATTTTCTATGCTAATTGAAATATGGAGAAAAGAAAGTTAAAAAAAAACCTAGTAGGATGTAAAATTTCTGCTATGTCATTTGATAATGGTATCTTCTCATTACCATTTTATAAAAAAATGAAATTTTCTCTGCTGTGCCACTAGACTCACAGAGCTGCAAAAGAACGCAGTCAGAAGAGATTGAAAAGGCATGAAAGTTAGCATCAGATATATAAAATCAAGCTGCCACTCAAATGTTAATTCATATTTACGTACAGTAAAGATACAGACAGATAAAGAAACCCCCTTCCCCTCTCTAAGAGTTAACCTGAGTTGATGACTGAGAAGCAAAATTAAGAACATTTACAAAGATAAACACGAACTAAACTGTTAAAACTGAAATTTAAGTCTCTAAAGTCTTCAGGAGCATTTCCCCAGACTGACCTCCTAAAGGAGAAAATATTTAAATGACTGACAGGCTAAAGACAACATTTCACTGGAAAACTCATGAAAAGTGATCTAAGCATGTTTTTCAATGAAAAGGCTTAAATAAATCTATTGTTACTTGAGTAAAATTTCAACTACATAAAACAAAGTAGCTTTCTGAGCAAAAATTCCACTGAAGAACTAGACACCTGAATTAAGTAATTTTCAGGTCAATTTATACAAGGAAACTTATATCAATACATAGGAAAATGGTTCTCTCCCCGGTCCTTATTTTCTGGAAAGAAATCAACAAATCAGGAAAATCAGGGAATTGAGCTTTTACTGGAGAATCTGCTGGTTTACCATGAAATTTCTTTATGTGGCTAAGTTAGTTGGTGCCACCCTGTGATACATTACTGAAAGCACAGATTACTTTTTATTCCTTTGGTCACATGAGGGATGGAACCCAGGGCCTTCACACTGAGTTACAACCCCAGCCATTTATAGTTTTTACTTTGAGACAGGGCTTGAAGTTACGATCTTCCTGTCTCGGCTTCCTAGCATGTTGGGACTACAGGCACACACCACCACACCCAGCCCACACGTTACATATTTTTTGTCAACCTAACTGTGAGTGAAGACAAACCAATATTATAGTTTTCAAATCAACAGTAGTACTCAGCTCAGTTAACACATTTAAATCATCCAGTTCAACAGAAAAAACATGTTTTAAAGAACCATACTGTTTTACGCAATCCCAGGCCCTCCTCCGGCCTGGCTTCTCCACTTCACCCCCATCTCATGTCCCTACTGCCGAAAACGACGGAGCTATGACCCGTCCCACCTGCGTTCTCACCCTGGGCCCCAGGAATAAACTGCTGACTCTGAAAGGACTCTCAGCACACTCTTCAAGGATTCAGCCACTCAGGAAAACGCTGGCGTTTTACTTATGGTCACTTTCATGTGACTCTTCCTGGGCCACATCCGGAGACTCTGGGTTCAGCTCTGGACCCTCAGGCTTGTACACAAAACAAGCCCAGTTTCACGTGAAACCACTAGCCTCAGCTTAGACAAGCCCGCCCAGCATGGAAGCAGCGATTAAGCGGCAGCAGGTGTGCTGCTGAGATCCAGCGTCCTGGGCTCACGGCGGCAGCCCCGAGCTTCAGTCCGCACACCCGGGCTGCGGGATGGTCCTGCATTAGGAAGGCAGTTTTTCAGCCCTCAGCAAGGACACGTGGTAGGTACTGGACCCAAAAGCAGGTCCAGGATGGAGTCTCTGTACCTGGAATCGTCCGCAGGCAAGCCTACTCCGCCATCTGACTGGCTGTCCTTAAAGGAAACCCACATCTTGCAAGGGATTAGCAACAAAAGTAGTGACTGAGAAATATCCTGCCACACCAGGGACCTGGTCTTCACTGACTGAAGCTCATAGAGCCATGATATGGTCAATGTCGCCATCTGCTGGCTGGACAGCAGAGTAGCGCTACAAGGAAGCACCCAATGAGGTGCTAATTCTGTCCCTACCTTGTTGAGCCTCTAAATTCCACAATCAACTCAGTGCTTGCCTTGGCAATAAAGCGACTGTGTAGGGGCATTCACGCATCACAGTGTGCACGTGAAGTGCGCAGAGGCTTTATTCCCTCTGCTCATCATGGGTACACCCTGTGAGACAGGCCCCACGGTGTCACACCCATTTTACAAAGGAAGAAAGAAGAGCACAACAGTTAAGAAAGTGGTCTTAAACCATGAGAGCAAAGCTAGGGCAGGAATCTGGCTCTTTCTTGCTTAACCATTAACTTCCGCCTAATATCCCCAGGTGTCCCTCATGGCATCACACTCAATCAGGAATTTTACCGTCTGGGTTACAAGGGAGCTGATGCTCAGCAAGGGCAAGCTGCTGCCCAGGGGGACAGCGCCCACGGGCACGGTGCCTGGGTGCCACAGTGATCCCTCAGAGAAGAGGACTGTTCACTGATAACTTTATTCAGACTCAGGAAACAAAGTCAAGACCTTGGCAGCACCAGCCCTCAGCCCCCGTAATTCCAGACTGCTTACAAAACGCCCTCAAAACCTGAAATCTGACTTTTGGGCTGATTCTACACACCCGTTAGTTCATTATACAGCACAAAGTTCTTAACCGGGGACCTCTGGTCACTGAGGTCACTGCTGGACTGTAACCGTCGGGGGTTCTTCCCACACTCCTCCGTGGACAGACAACCAGGCCGATCTCAAAAAGTGGATTCAACGTTTGACTTCATCGGAGGGCAAGGAAGCGTCTTTCTCAAATGGTGGCTTACCTGGCCAGAACGGTTCCTTCTGCAACGCTGAAGGAGTGCATTCTCACCCCTTCCCTGTGCCAACTTTCCCTCGTACCTGGCCCTAGGGTACTTCCACTACCGCCCTCGGTCTCAGGAACCATCACACTGGGACCCTGCTCAGGGAACCTAGTGCTCGCTGATGGCATTTGCAAAATGCCATGACCCGGGGCATCTGAGATTCATTCGCGCCAGGGAAATGGGCTCTTTCTGAGCGCTTCTGCTCACAATGACTTAAAAAAGCCAGAGCTGGAGGCAGGCTCTCATCTCTGGCCACCATTATCAAGTTTGACAAGTGCAGCAAAGCCTCAGTATTGGGCCAGTCCGGCTCTGAAGTTTCCCAGGACTTTGTAAAATTCTGGAAGCCAGCTGTATCAGGAAACAGTGGCTAAATGTCTGTCTGGGAGGCCTGTTCTAAAGGGTGCAAAAGGACAGCTGGTGGCTCCATCCCTGACAACAGTGACTGCTCCTCACCCAAGCTCCTCTGCAGGGAATGATTACGCATTCAGCGGTGCCCTCTGCGCTGAAGCCACGTGTTGAAGTTCCAGCCTCCTGCACGGGAGGTGACTGCATCTGGCAACAGTCTTTTAAACACGTAAGGTTAAAGGAGGTCACTGGGGCGAGCTTTAATCCGGTGAAAGTGATGAACTTGTAAGAGACTGGGACACAGACATACCGAAGCAAGACCTCGTGAAGATACGTGGAGAACGTGGCCATCTTCGAGCCAAGGCAAAAGACCACAGAAGAAACCAACCCTGATGACACCGTACTCTTGGGCTTCTAGCTACCAGGAGCACAACGTATTGCTCACGTCACCAGGGCTGCTTGTCACAGAGGCCTGGTAAACTAATACAGTGACACTGTACTTTAGAGAAGTCTGGAGAGCTCCGGGGGTGAACATCCAGAGATCTTTTGGATACCACTTCACTAGTGAAATGGTCGATTTTCCTCAAAGCTCACTCTCTTCCCCAATTCTAGACTGCAAAGACTTTGACTAATAGGAAAGGCATAATTTATTTAAAGCTCCTCAGGTAGTTCTGAAATACAAGTTTCTAAAATCTATGTGTAGTAGGCCGCTAACAGCCCTTCTGCTCAGCTGCACTCCACTGCTGTGATGTAATACCCAGGACACTAACATCAAGGAGGAAAAGTTTACTTTGGCTCACAGTGTGTCTCAGTCACTGGGATCCGTTGCTTTGAGGCTGTTGCAGGGCAGAGCAGCATGGTGGGGACATGGTCAGGATGCAGCTGTGCCCTTCACAGCAACCAGGAAATAGACACGAAGGGGCCAGGTCCTGATATCCCTCCAAGGGCAGGGCCCAGTGACCTAACTTCCTTCACTGGGCCTCACCTACTGAAGCTTCCACCACCTCCCACTGGTGCTCCAGGCTGGTGACCAAAGGATACACAGGCCTTTGAGAGATATTGAAGAGCCAAACTATGATAGTCCCCAAGAGATCTTATTTACATCCCTATTCCCAGAACCTCCAAATGCTACTTTACATGGTTAAATGAAGGACCACGAGACTGGAGAAATGATCTGGGAGGACCCTGAATGTAACCATGAGGGTCCTTATGAAAGGGAGGCCTGAAGGTCAGATGAGGAAGGTGATGATGATGGGAAGAGAGGAAGAGAAAAGAGGCTGTGCGCCAAGGCACGCCAGTGTCTCCAGAGCTTGCAGAAGGCCAATGGATTCCCTTGGCTGTTCAAGAGGGGCCAGCCCGACCGACACCTTGCTACTAACCTCGTTCAGACTCATGCTAGACTTCTGGCCTCCAGAATCACAAAAACACATTTGCACTGTGTGAAAGCGCTCAGTTTGAGGTCACTGCGACGGCAGCCACAGGAGACCAACGAACACCTGAGTAAACCCACGGGCAAAGCTAGTTAGAATGCAGGCGTTCATCCCTCGAAACAAGCTAGGTCAGGGT